TCAGAGATATTTCAGGTGTGGTTTCCAGACCACGGCAATAAAACAAATATTGCAATCAAGTAACACAATAGTTTTGGTTTCCCAGTACATGTAAAAATTATGTTTAAATTATACTGTAGTCAATAGTGTGCAACAGTATGTATAAAAAGCAAGGTGCATGCTTTAATTAAAAAATAATTTATTGCTAAAAAATGCTGTTATCTGAGCTCTGGGAAAATGGCACCAATAGATTTGCTTGTTGCTCCACCTCAAGTCAAGTCTCCTCCCATCACCATTTATCTCCCCTTTACCCTCTCCTACCCCAACCCCCGCCCCACCTGCCTTTCCCTCTGGTAATCACCATACTGTTGTCTGTCTACAAGTTTTTGTGGTGGGCCTCATGTTGATTCAGTCTTCTCCTCACTTTTCTCTACTTTAAGGCATGTTCTTAGGTGCAAGGAGACTTAATTTGATAGTCACCGGATGCAGTTGTAAATTGTAAACAAAAAAAATGCTAATGTAGGCACTGAAATCAAGTAGCAACTTCTGGTTATGAAATGGTCATCTGAATGAGTCATAATATATTTACATTAATTTTTTAAGACTATCTCCAAGAAAAATGTACATTTTTTTTTTCATTATGAGAAACACTGGCTTATAGGAATGGCTACCAAAATGTCCTGAATTTTCTGATGCTGCACTATTTACAATGTTCAGGCCAGTGTTTAAAACACAGATTTTAATTTTGAGCAGACACTATTCTGTTGTTTTCTTGAACCTCTGGTCCATTTTGAAGGAAAAGTCCATTGGGAATTTCCTCTGTTTTCCCTTTCTCCTGGCCCTTTCTCTTTCTTTAAAAGGTAGGCCAGTGATTTTCAATCCAGCCAGGCTTCCTTTCACGACCTACATTTGGGACATTTTCTTTGTGACCCTGAGAAGAAACCCACAGGCGATGAACTTGCCTACCAGATTCGGAGTGATGGTGTAACAAATGAAAGTTAAGCTTCAGGACACCTCCAAAATCCTGGAAGAGTTCACATGTTTCTGGAAAACTTACAAAACATTTTAACCGCATCTGGACAAGACTAGTTTCTTGTCCCTCAGGCTTCCCTCTGTCACACTTTGGTTCCTATCGGGAGCATGATATTCGTTGCAGGAAGCTTTTGGGGCCCAGCTAAGGTGAACTTAAGCTGAGGATGTTTGCTTCTGGTTTAGCGTAACAGAGGCATGTGGTTCATACTCATGTACAGGTTTGGTAAGGTACTGCGAGCCATTCTGGGGTGGAAATGGCTTCCAGAAAAATCCTTCCAAAGAGCCCTCTTTCCTGTCTTCTGGGCACAAGGTGAAGGGCCTAGGGTCATGTGCAACATGAACCAATACTTGACACTGGACAAAGGAAAACCAAGGTTGAAATATCTGGAGTGAGAAGGCATTTTGTCATTTTTTTCCTCCCAAGCATAGGATGTGTGTAAGCAGAAAATTTGATTCCTCGTGTCTAGTGAAAATGGAAGTTCTCTCTTACCAGGAATACACTCAATATAGAATATAAAATTATAAACACTCATGATGTTTTTATCACTTTTGATTGGAATAAGACAATGTAAAATTTATCAGAATTCTTGTGTTTGTAAGGCACAAACCTCTACTAGTACTACAGAAGTCAAGAATATCTCATAAGAATTGCATTTTTAATGCACTTCAACTATCAATAATAGAAAATAAATGCTGATCAGTGATGCTAGAGGGAAGGATGAATTATATTTCTAGTTTCTCTATAAAAATATTATTATAGTAGCTGAGGAAAGAATGTAGCACAGATATGGAGGAAAAGGAAAGTATTATTGTAGAGTGTCAAGCAGCACATTGTCATTTTTCCTGGGTTTTGTAATGCTCATGTTATTTTTCAGCTTTTGTATTTTGTAATTTGTGATTCATATTTTGTTTTACATAGTCATTCTAACATCAAATATTATATTCATAGTTTTCTATTCATGTTTTTAAGGAAGGCCCCTAAAATTATGGAAGTTTCAGGAGCCTGAAACTGAATCCACCCCGCCTACCAATACACATTTTTATTTTTTAAATCAATATACTTCCCAATTTTAATATAAAGAGGAAATAAAATAACTTTATAATGAGCAAATATATTCGTGATGAATATGGTGATAACAAATACAGCCTGAGATGAGTGTGAGGTGTCAGTGATACAAATCTAAACAGCGTAGCTGTTGGGGATCAGATTTTCTAAATAGTGAACAATTTAATGATGCTGTTCCAGGAAAAGCAAAGAAAAATCTCTCCTCAATATACATGGTAATTTCTTTGTTGTAAAATCTAGTATATACAAAAAAAGTAAAAAACAACAAAAAAGTTTGCATTTGTTGGTCAAAACCTCTACTAGTACTAGGTTTAAGGTTTAAAGGCTCAAATAATTCTAAAAGAACTGATTATCACTTTTTAATATGCAAGGCCATCCTGGGTATTACAGGACATTTGGCTGAAAATGTATCTGCAGACCCATCACTGAGACAAGCAACAAGCAATACTCATTGCTGCCCTGCCCCATCTCTCTCTCTCTCGCTCTCACTCTCTCTCTCTCTCTCTCTCTCTCTCTCTCTCTCTCTCTCTCTCTCTCACACACACACGCACGCACGCACGCACGCACGCACGCACGCACGCACGCACGCACGCACACACACACACATTTCTCTCAAGGGACTGAGAGGTTCAGACAACTCCCTGGCTTCCCAGCCCCCACTCTTACCCACCCTCACCCCCAGAAACACACTGGTCACAGTGCTGTTCAGCCAGATCCTAAAGGATTCGGGCTTCAGAATTTACCTATTAAAATGCAAATATTCTTGGCTGGGCTAAGACCTCTTGTTCTTATCAGCTAACAACTTAAAGGAATCTCTTTAAGAGGAGGCTGTTTCCATTTGTTAACTGTGTAATTCTGTGAGAAAGCAGAAAATAAGCCTGGCCTACAGTACATTTGGCTCGACTCTGCAAGACTAGGGTTTCTCTGTCCACACACGCCGGGGAAGGATCTGAGCGCCCCCTAGAACATCTCCTAATGCAGGGAGCCCTGTGTGGGGGGCAGGCCCTGCCCCGCTGGCCCAATTGCTTCTGTGGAACCTGGTTGCATCCTTTGGAGGATGTATGGACTCACTGGTGGCTTTTCTAGCTTTTGGGGGTTTTCCCCTATGGATTGAGCAGGAAGTTGGGGAAGTGGTCTCTTTCTCTTCTATTTTCAAGTCCTAAGCTCTTTATAAAATAATCATAGTAACAGTAATGACTATCATACACAGCATTAACTTACCTGCCAGGCTCTATTCTAAACTTTCCACTATATTAAATATTTTAATGTTCACAACAGAGAACAGGCTGGGAAGCCAGGACCAGTGGAATAGGGAAACCGAGGCAGGCAGCTGAACAAACTGGCAGAGCAATTTAGAGCAGCTACAGAGGTCACCTCCCTAGAGAAAACACACACAGGAGGATTTTAAGTGACGGTGGCAAGCTTTGTAGGCGTGCCCTCGGGAAGGCTGCCACACTTGAGGAGGCACCTCCCCAGCATCAGCTGATAAATCCCTCCCACTGCCCCCAGGTACACCACGCCCAAAGTCTCATCCACAGCCAGGCAGTTCAGCTCCATCTCACACAGAAGGAGTCCAGGCTGCAAGCCCACACTTGGGCCCACCAGGCCCAAGAGGGTCAACAGACCCCAGAGCTGTATCACTCCAGCACCCAAGGCTACCCTTGGGCAGGTCATCTAACTTCCCTCTGCCTCGTGGCCTATCTGCACGTCTGTCACCAAGACTCAATGGCACCTGGGCCGTGGTTGGCACTGCACTCCAGCCCAGGTAGCTGCCACCGGAGACAGGCCTTTGATAGGCTTTAGTTCTATTTCCTTGAGTTTGGGAAGAGCCAGGCTTCTTTCAGACTGTTCAGTCTCATTCCTGGCTCTTCCCTGGCTCGTGTCCTTATCCTATCTGATCCTTCCCCAGATTTCTCTGGGGTTTTCTCCTCGCCTTCATGGTCACCACTTTGGCTTCTACTGAGCTTGTGCTTGTACTAAGTGAAAAGACACCCTCTGTACCATCTCTCCCTTCTCCCGTCAGTGGAGGGAGCTCCTGCCCACTCAGATGCCTGAAGGGTCCTTTCCTAGTTAATCCAGCCGGGTCCAGGTGCTCCCTTCTTTTCGTTAACATCTAGCTAAAGGCCTATTCTACAAGTAGCTCTGGAGAACCACAACAAAATCTCAGCAATCGCTGGCCGTACCCCTGAACATGCATAAATGGTATGTTGTCATGACTAAAGGTTTTCCTCTAGGGCTGTGGTCGGCAAACTGTGGCTCGCAAGCCACTTGTGGCTCTTTGGCCCCTTGAGTGTGGTTCTTCATCAAAATACCACAGCCTGGGCGAGTCTATTTCGAAGAAGTGGCGTTAGAAGAAGTTTAAGTTTAAAAATGTGGCTCTCCAAAGAAATTTCAATCGTTGTGCTGTTGATATTTGGCTCTGTTGACTAATGAGTTTGCCTTCCACTGCTCTAGGGTTAGATTTTTAAATGTCTGAATCCCAAATTAGCCATTTAGTACCTACTCTAAGATAAGTTGCTTAACCTCCTTTAGCTCCAGTTTTCCTACCTATAAAATGTAACGAAGGCACCTGCTTCATAGGATTATTGTGAGAAATGAAGGAAACATCGCCTGTGCCCCACTTTCCTAAATTGCATTGATAGACAGTTTAAGAATGTCCTCTGACTGTGTGTCTAGCCCTGTGCCTGTCTTTTACTAGATTCCAAGTAATCTCTGGAGATGGGATGGGGAGTAAGGAGATACATATAAGATTGCCCAATTAGGCACCACTCCAAATTTTATCTCCGGGAAAAAGGCAAACCCAGGCACAGCTGATCAGGTAACCAGATAGGACACAGAAAACATTTCCTTCTCCTTTTTGAGTTTAAGTCGATCTTAAGGCCCCAGACTTCAGCTCAGTCTGCACTTGGAGGCCCTAGGAGAGATGTCCACCTCCATGGGAGGCCCTGCCCTGCTGTGGACAGCATTGCTGCTCTTTTGTAAGTAGAGTCCCAGTCCCCCCTCTTGCAGCAGCCAGAATGGATTGGGAAGTAGCTGGGGTGGGATTGCTAGGTTTAGTGCTGACTTTTCCTAAGCCATGCCCAAACCTTGGGGCATTTCCCAGGGATTCTGTAATGGAGGCAAACTGGAAAGCAGAGGAAACAGAGCTGAGCAACATCTCAGCAAAAAGCTAGATGACTGAGAGCCTGGTTTCTTGCTATCATTCTGGCATCTCTGGAGGACAGGAAGGGTTGGGGAGGGTACAGAAAAAAAAAGAGAATCTCCTTATCTGAGGATCAAATGCCTAGGAAGATAGTTAGCCCTTAAAATTCCATGAATGTAGACGTCATCTGCACCCCGGTCTCCAGTCTTCAGGAGCCTCAGAAGGCTGGGATGGACACTAATGTATCCTCTCTGAACATTTGCAGCTCCAGATGGCATGCCAGCAGGTGAGTCCTCTGTCCTCGTTCACTCGGTGTTTCCATGTGTCTGGGCATTGCCTCTCCACACTGTTTCCCTTCGTTCCAGCGTCTTTGTTTTCTAATGATGATTGCTATTTTTCTACTGATTGTGAATCTACAACTCCCTGTTCAACCCACTTCCCATGTCCACCTTGCCTTGTCTTCCTTCTTTTCTCTCACTCAGAAGCATCTCACATACCAGTTCACTCTCTCCCGTCACCACCTCCTCTTTTTATGCAAACAACCACTTCTTTGGACCATTTCAATGTCTCGGCTTCTCTTCCAGGCACTATTATGTAATCTCACTCAATTCTTACATCACCATTCTTCATGTTGTTATTTTACAATTAAGGGTGCCGAAGCTCAGGTTTAGTGATTTTCTGGAGGTTACACAGCAAGCAAAGGACTGGATTCTAACATGAGTGCCTTGGATTCAAATCTGGCTCTCTTTCTACTGCATCACCCTTTCTTCATCACCCCCCTGCTACTTCCTTAGCTTCAGTCAGATTTGTATCACATCTCTTTTTTCTTGGAAACCTTTTAAGATGTTTACTCTTGGTCTTCCTCATTACCTTCCAGAATTGGCATGCATTGTTTTCTGTGTAAACACTCACAACAGAGTTATATATCCATTATTCACTCATTCATTCACTCCACATGCCAGCCATTGAGTCAAGCTAGGGTTGAACACGATAGACATTGCCTCTGCCTGAAAAGAGATTGCAGTCCTCATTTACAAATTCTGAAAACTGAAATCAAGAGAATTCAATGAGTTCTCTTATACCAATTTTAATTTTTTAAATTTTTTGTTTGTTTATTTATTTGTTCTTTTTAATATCCTGCATTTTTGTCCTGTCTTTCTCCCTAGGTAGGGAGCTCCCTGGGACCACACCAGTGTTTCCTCCTTTTTAAAATCCTAAACTAACTAGGGTCTTATCAACATCAGTAGAGGGTAGACAGGCCATTGATTGACTATTAGTATGTCTGTATTTTGAAGCCTAGACAATTAATTTTCTATGATGTTTCCCCCTCTGTATCTCTTTTCACTATTTGATCTTCCCAAAGCCGCCTGGAAATCTACATTGTCCTTGAATCCACCATGGAACAGAATATTTCAAGGAGAGAATGTGACTCTTAGATGTAACGGGAACAATTCCCTGGAAGTTAACTCCACGAAGTGGATCCACAACAAGACCATGCTAGCAGTGACAGCTCCAAGGTTGGACATTGTGCATGCCACATTCCAGGACGGCGGGGAATACAGATGTCAGAGCAAAAACCTTATCCCAAGTCAACCGGTGTATCTAGAAGTCTTCAGCGGTAAGTTCCAAGTCTGTGGAAATGCAGGTTTTCCCAGGTGAAGGACGGCCTCTCTGGTGATGGGGAGCAAAGAACTTATTCTAAGGCTTAGGGTAACAGGGTGGAATTCAGGGTCTCTCGCTCAAGACCCATAAATCTCTCTTCTTGCATCTCTACTTCTGCATGCTTTCAATATTCTGCCCATCCTCCACTGATATTTGTCCATTTTATTTCACCTCTGACTATCTTTTCTACATAGATTCAGATGCATATTATGTGATCACTGACATGTTGGGTATGTGAATATTGCAAAGAGCTATATATCTGAAATAGGATCAAAGGTTTGATTTAAAGATTTGCTCTGCAATATCCATGTGCAATGGTCTGAATATTTGGTTCTACCCTTCATTTTGAAAGATATCTGTGTACATGTCTCAAGTCCTCTATTTTTACTTACGAAAAAAAGTTTGTTTGTTTTTTCATCTGCATCACTTTCCTATTGATAATAATTAGTGAAGCCTGCTTAGACATACGTGGGTTAGTTAGTAAACGCTGAATGAACAAGCTAATGATTTCATTTGAATGTCTAGGTTATTATCATAATTTACTTTATATTTTTAAGCATAAATATATTTTAAAGTATAGACAAACTTTGTATTTTTCTCTTGAATGAAAGATGTTTTAACATCCATATGCAAATCCCAAATAAAAACAAAAGGAGTATAAAATAGCTTCTTTATGTCCTTAGAGAAGATTCTGGTAAAGTCCTCAAGGATTGCTCATAAATAAAATATGTTTGCACAAACTAGCCACATTTCCATTTAGCATTTTTCTTTGGTGACTGCTTTTCAATTCTTAAAATGACAATAGTCATGGAACCTAATTTTTCACGGACTCATTACTGAAAATATTTGTTGAGTACTTATCAACTCCTAGGTATTGTATTAGGCACTGGGGATATATTGTAAGGGACAGACATGGCCCCAAACCTCTTGTATAAAGCCAAATAAGGACAAGGATATTAAGTAAATTATTACACAAATAATTAATAAGAGTTGTTATACATGTTCTGAGGAAGTTTTAGGATCAACTATGAGCAATAATAAAACTGAAAGTCCCCAATGAAGTAAGAGAAGACAAAATAGACAGTGTCCTAGGCTAAGATGCCTTGGGCAGAATAGCTTTGCTTCCCACTTAGAGACTAGAACTAACAACAGTGGAGCTAAAGGGAATCCTGGGTTTCAGACCTTCCTTGGATAGGCTCAGCAGAAATGTCAGAGAAATTTTATGGCTCCAGACTTACTATTCAGGAAGAGAGAAGATTTATCAATATAGAAGTCCCACTCTAAGCATTATTTTGTTTCCTTTTTATTGACTTTATGAGCCAAGAAATATATTAATGATGAACTATGGCTCTGACACAGACTCAATGCGGGACCTCATCTATTTTATCTACCTGTTATTTGTCTATCCCCAATCTATCTATATCATCTATTTGTTCATTGTTAAATAAGTAACTTAATAAGTGCTCTTCAGATTGGCTGCTGCTTCAGTCCTCTTCTGAGGTGGTACAGGAGGGTGAGTCCTTCCTCATCAGGTGCCATGGTTGGAAGAATAGAAATGTCTTCAAGGTGATTTACTACAAGGATGGCATAGCACTGAAGTACTGGTATGAGAACTACAACTACTCCATTACCAATGCCACCACAAAAGATAGCGGCAACTATCACTGCACGGGCAAAATTTGGCAGATAAACCATACCTCGGAATCCCTCAAGATAACTGTAAAAAAAGGTGAGTTAGATCTGGCTGGCATGGCTCAGTGGTTGAGTGTTCAACCTATAAACCAGGAGGTCACAGTTCAATTTCTGGTGGGCACATGCCTGGGTTGCAAACTCAATCCCCAGTGGGGGGCGTGCAGGAGGCAGCCGATCAATATTCTCTCGTATCATTGATTTTCTATCTTTCTCTCCCTCTTCCTTACTCTCTGAAATCAATAAAAGTACTGTTTTAAAAGGTGAGTTAGTAAAAGAAAGGGAAGGAGCCTATAGCAGAGGAAGGAAGAGAAGACATCTTAACTTGAAATAGTAGCAGCTTGTAAAATGGGGGCAGCCGTGATCCCTTAGAAAATCTACTAAACATCTAATGGAGAGACATAGACTAAAGTATTGTTCTCAATCTCTGGCTTAATTTTTGTTTGTTTGTTTGTTTAATGACGATAGTAATACCTGCTCATATTAAGGCATTTTAATAAAGATTAAATGTGGTAATATTTGTAAAATGGATTTATAATTTGTTAAGCACGGACCAAGCATAACACATTGCAATTAGTTTTGATCTCAAAGTCACCTGCTGCTCCTTGTGGGACACTTATATTTACTGAATTGAAGGAAAGTATCAAAGTTGAAGAAACAAAGGCTGTGAAGACCTTAGTCTGATTTTCGTAAGAGGGCTGGGCAAGAAAACCAATAATCCAATAGGCTGTGTGCCTGTATATTTGGAGGAAAAAAAAGAGGGCTTAATGAGGGGAGAAAATGGGCAGGTAGGCAGCCAATCAAAAGGACTGCTCTTCCCAAACTTCGTATAACAGAGAGAGTCTTTGAAATATTTGCCTTACAAGGAGGAAATTGGCAAACTTGGCTCATACTAATGTCTACAGAAGCCTGAGTCCAGAAGCTAGAATTAGGCTCTAGTGGCAGCTCCCTGTTAACTAATTTGAGACCTAAATACCATTTAATTGTTCAGTATCTTTGTCAATAAAATAAAGGGTTTGGTCCAGACTTTATCAGAATCACTTGGAGAAATTTAAAAACAATATTGATGTTCATTTCTCATTCCTATATAGAAATTCGAACTTACTTGATTTGATAAGGCATGCACACATCAGTATTTTTAAAAGCTCTCTCAGGTAATGGTAATGAATAGATAGTGTTCAGAGCCACTGATCTAGGTGAGCTCTAAGAAATACCTGGCTTTAATATTCTGGGTCTCTATAATTCTAGAATAATCACCAAAAGCCAAAAGCGGTACTTTGTAAAAAGAGTAACAGAGTCACAAAATAGTGCAACTGGAAGGAAATGTAAAGATGATTTTGTTCAATATCTTCATTTTACCCAAAAGGCATGCAAGAATGATGATTGATTGATTGGTTGATTGATAAATAAGATACTGATGTCCCCTGATCTCACTCTGTCTCCTTTCTATCCCAAATAATGTGTGGATGTTAGTCTTTCCAGTTTCAGGAAAAGGGTTATGGTTCCTATTACCTTCCCCGTTGGACATATTGGCTAGAGAGACTGTCAGACAAGGGCTTGGGGAGATGTTTAGGACTCCATAGGCTCCAGGGAGCACAGTGTGAGGAACCCAAACTCAGAAGTGTTTTCTCCCTGCACCTGAGAAATGCCATGGCAAGCTAGAATAGGGAAGACCATGCCGGCCCCTTCTCTTGGGGAGGTTGAAGCTTTGAAACTTACTGTTCAACTTTTAATATTATTCAATAATGTTATGTTTCCTGTTGCACCTAGATTCCTTTCACCAAAGCAGCAACTACTCATGGCAACTCCTTATCCCACTTTTGGTAGCCATCCTGTTTGCTGTGGACACAGCACTGTTCATCTCAACCCAGAAGCAGTTTGCATTCATCTTGAAGATCAAGAGCACCAGGAAAGGCAACAAACGTATGGACCCACAGCCGCAGCCCAAGCCAACGCCCCCGAAGTGATGTCACCGCTCAAGAAACATTTGCAGCAACAGTTTCCTTCAGGCATCCGCAATTGCTTCTGTTGTCACACCCCACTCACAATGTCCATAGAAAAATCTGTGTTCACCTGACTGCTCACTAAACCAACTACCACTGGTTAAGTGGCATGTAATAAGCGCTCAATAAACATCAGTTAAACAAGTAAAAAGAATGTATAGATTCATTTATACACCCATTTATACTTTATTTATATAGTTTTGAAGGAAAAGTACAATTTTAATAAAAGCAATATGAAACCGTGTGTTGCTTCCAGGTATCCGAGGCTTGCCAGTTGTTGTTTTTCTTCTTTCTTATTTATTATTTATTTATTTATTTATTTATTTTTGCTTCTGGAGGAAAAAACCATGAGGTTTTAGATTAGGCAAGTTGTCTCTTGACCATTGTAAGTATGAGTGAGGAGTGAGAAGACATGGTGGAATGCTAGTGAGGTTGATCATTTTTATATTCTCTCTTCAATTCTCTTATATCCATGAGCTTCTAGGTCTTGGCAGAATCTGGGGCAGTCTTGAGTCATAGAACTTAGGGGATGAGGCTCGGTCTAAAATTCCCTTGTGATTGTTTCCTCCATCTAACACCCTCGCCCCAAATTTATATCTTTAATACCCTCTTATAGCACCTGAACTAAGCATCTTCTAAGGAGATTCTAGTAAATAGTAATAATCAGAACTCTCTGCTCTGAAAAAAGTCTGGAATGGAATAAATCTCAAGCAAAGAATTTAGACATTTCTGGCTTGTTGATTTCTCTTTTCATTTTATGTATTTATTATATTCATTGGAGTCCCAGGATTATCTCATAGAATAAATGGGACTAAGTTATAGCCTCTTCTAAAGCCAACTATTAGAAAGGGACTAAACTAATCATGAGACAAAATGTAATTGTTCATAAAAATTTTTTTAAGATAAGAGGATGATTTTTTGTGGATTCTGAGAAAAATTTATATCTTAATTTTTAACCTATTTACAAGAAAATTATACTTAAATTGCTGCCAATTGAACTGAGCCAAAGCAAATAGAGTTCAGGTGATAGGATAAAATTATTTTTTAATTAAAATATAACTAACTGGTCTTCTGCCTTAGCCTATATCAACACTGAAAATTTGGGGCCTCACTTGCCAATTGCTGTTCTAGAAATGGTGCCCTAAAATGCAAATGGAGGCTTCCAGGAAACAGACTCTGAAACAGAGATGTGAATGCAACTAGTTTATAAGGGAGTGCCCTCAGTACCAACCCTGCGTGAGCGTGAAGGAAGCAGGACCGGGCAAAAGAAACGTGACAGAGACACAGCAAAAGCCTCAGACAGTTCAAACAGTAGCATAGCTGAGAGCCTGGAACTGGGGTAGCCCTTCTTGATCATCTTAAATTGATCATACCGTGTTCATACCCTGAACTAGCAAGTCATGGAGGCCAACCATGTGGCTTTGAAAGAGGCAGCTCTTAGCAAGGGCAATTCCTGAGGACTGTCAGCCCAGGACACTCCCAGCAGCTGGAACAATGAATGTGGGTCCTGCAGGGGAGCAATCAGCCTAGTGTACAACAGTCTCAACGAGAGACCACTTCAAACAGAAGGAAGTGTGACACGGGCCATCAGAGCTTTACCTAACCTGTTCATCTAGATGAAGCAGATCTACGAAGGACACGGTTTTCATAATGGTTCTATGACTATCCTCACAGAAATGTACTGGCTCTATCATTTCTGGAAATCTGGACACAAAGGCAAAGATAGCATTTCTCTCTCAGACTTCGCGTGCCAGTGTTTTTTGCTAAGTGAGACAAGGTAGCTTTGCTTACGGGATTTGCTGACTTCCACTGACCGGTCCCCACCTCAGTGCCCAGCCGCCTTCATGACACTTTCACAAGCTTTTGCAGGGTCCTTACTTGCACCAGCTGGGCACTGGGGCCTGTAAGAGCTGTGTGTGAAACTCAGGCTGTGCTTGGTCCTCAGTAGAGAAGGCCAGAGTGGGGTGGAAGGATGAGAGAGCGGATTTTTCCTCCCACCAGAGCATATGCATTTGCCTTCTGTAGATGCTCACACATGAACTGCTTTTATCAACTGTGGTTTTCAGCTGAAGTATCTAAGGAGAAATTTCTGAAGATTAGCCTCTGCAGGCTTAGGAACTTACTGGAAATTCTTTTTAAGTCAAGCTTCAGACTTCCACTCAGTAATAAATATTTTCAGAGGTTTTCGTTAAAGCGCTTACACTGAATACTCTTTCAAAGAGTTTAGCTCTATTTTACAAGAGTCAAGTATTTTTGCTTGACTCTTCCCAACCTCCATCCTCTTTCACTCCCCAATTGGAAATGTGAAAAGCATTGGACTTTTCAGCATGTCCTGCTTGATAATTGGAGTTTTCTCACCCAGGTATCTCTGGACTATGAACACCCCACCTTTGGGCTCTCGGTAGCTGATGGCTTTTGATTTCCCCCATTTGCCCTCCTCATTCCCAGGAATGATCAGTTAGGGTAGTTTCCGTCACCCGGAAAGTGTGCGTGACCTCTTTTGATGATTCTTCAGGCTGTGACAGGATCTTATCAAGTGGCAAACACATATTACAATAAAGCCTTCAATGTCTACTGGAAAAGATACACAGGCATGCCTCCTCACTTAGTTGTTAAAATATTTGCAAAAATTACTCCTACCCCCATAATAACACACACACAAAAGTCTTTCTAATATGCTTTCTATTCGCTCTTAAGAACTTTGCTGTATTCTGTGTCTTAATGGAGTTGTATTACTTAACATATCCTCAGGGTATGTATAGCTATGTGCATGAGTGTGTGAGAGAACATAGATATGAGTGGCTCAGGCATGTAAATCTTTCTCCTACATTCTTAACTGTATGTGAAGTCATTTTTTTCTTTTTTCTGAAGAAGGGCATTAAAGAACAGTGATTAGTTCAAATGAAAGCCTTCAGTTTTAACACCCAATTAAACTTAGTCTACTATTCTTTGTTTTATTTTATGTATATTTTTATTGATTTCAGAGAGGAAGGAAGAAGGAGAGAGAGAGACAGAAACATCCATGATAAGAGAGAATCATGAATCCACTGCCTCCTGCAAATCCCCCACTGGGGATCGAGCCCACAAGCCAGGCATGTGCCCTTGACTGGAATCGAACCTGGGACCTCTCAGTTCACTGAGCCAAACCTATTGAAATAGCATGAAGATCAATACATATTGATAAACCAAGTAAAAAGCCTTCACAACCATTCCTCATTAAGGGGACCGGAGCTTTCGCCCCATGGCTCTGCACAGAGCACCTTGGACCTCCTTGTTCCTCAGACTGTACACAACGGGGTTCAGCAGGGGAGTGATGACGGTGTAGGTCACTGAGATGAGTCTGTCCTGGCCTATGGAACTCTGGGACTTAGGCTTGAGATAGATGATGGAGGCACAGCCATAGTGGATGACCACCACTGTGAGGTGGGAGGCACAGGTGGCAAAGGCCTTTTTCCGACCCTCAGCTGAAGTGATCTTGAGGATGGTGGAGATGATGAGGACATACGAGATAAAGACCAGACTCATGGGGAGAACCAGGACGCAGATGCTGACCACAAAGTTGATGATTTCATTGACCGTGGTGTCTATACAGGCCAGCTTCAGGAGGGGTCTCACGTCACAGAAGAAGTGTGAGATGACAAAGGCATCGCAGAAGGGGAGGCAGAACACAGAGGTGACTTGAACAGTGGCCATGCCCAGACCAATTCCCAGCGACCCAGATACAAACCGCACACAGGCCTCTTTACCCATGATGACTGAGTACCGCAGGGGGTTGCAGATGGCCACGTAGCGATCATAGCCCATGGCCATGAGCAGAAAGCAGTTGTTGATACCAAAGGTGAGATAGAAGAAGAGCTGAGCTGCGCATCCTGGTTTAGCAATGGGTTGATGAGGACTCAGCAGGCCAGAGAGCATCTGGGGGATGATGGCCACAGTATAGCAGGTCTCAGAGACGGACAGCATGCTCAGGAAAAAGTACATGGGGGTATGGAGGTGACGGTCCATGCAAATAATGCTAACAATAATGGCATTGCCCAAGAGAGTCAGCAGATACAAAGTGAGAAAGACAACAAAGAAAACAAGCCTGTGCTGCCACTGGAAGCTGGAGAAACCCTCTAAGAGGAACTCAGTCACAGCAGTGGAGTTTGGTTTTGGCATCGAGGAAGGTCTAAGTCTGGAAGATCTGGGCAAAGAAAAGAAATGTGTGATGATTTAACTAAGAAAGAGAAGAAGCTGGACCAAGGCCTTCATTAAAGGGCTGCCTCTCTTCTGAGCAATGCTCCAGACCTCGAGGGCCATCACTGAATCATCACCTTTGTCCTTCTTCTTCTTTTGTACTACAGACATGCTACCTTAGGACCCAAGGATTGAGATCGGAGAGAAATCTGAGAGGGAAAGCACAGACAAATTACAAGACAGATTTTATAGAAGTAATTACCCAGCCATCAAAGGAGTGAGTCCAGGTCAAAGAACAAGCCCACCTCTATAGGTTTCTTCAAACACCAGTTTAATTTGAATTAAACTCCTAGAGATTCAGTGAGGAGCAGTGTCCAAGGTGAAAGATAAAAGACATATGAGGCTAATATCAGCAGTCAGAATGCACTACCAACAGCTAATGCTCGATACAGGTCCTAGATTGACTTTTCCTCCTCAGAACCCTAGGTCCTAGGCTTCACTTCCCTATGCCTTGCACCTACAATCCACTGTGATCATGACAGATTAGAATGGCACAGCAAAAGAAACTGTCAACAACATGAAAAGGTATCTCACTGTGTGGGAGAACATACTTACCAATTAGACATCTGATGAGGGGTTAATTTCCAAAATGTGTAAAGAAATCATATAACCTGACATAAAGGAAGACAAACAATCCAATTTAAAAGTGGGCAATGGATGTGCATGGACATTTCTCCAAAGAGGACACACAGATGGCCAAGAGACATGAAAAAATGCTCCACGTCACT